TGGTAATGCAATCTGAGCATTAAAAGAATTATATCTTGTTCAAATATTTTATTTGATGTTAAGTATCATTTAGAAATGTTCTGTGGAATTGTGAAAAGATGTTTCAGGTGCCTGATGAGTGCCCAAAGCTTGAATCAGAACCAAGTTATGGAGTAGCAAAGCCCGAAAATTTCGAGTATCCAGCACCTGCAGAGGTAATTTCTTAAAATTTTTCATAGATTTTCGCTTGCTTGTGGAGATGTGTCAGTCCGCTTCACCAAATTCGATAAAAGAAAATTTGTTTTACTCTGTAGAGGTCCCTAGTTTAGATCTGGACACCTGCTGTGTACGCCTCTTTCAATCTTGGGAAAATATCAATGCCGGACTTCTCCAAGATTTTCAAAAGCAAGAAAGAGCTTAAAATTGTCAGCGAAGAGAAAATCTATCAATCGGAAAAGGATCCGAGTACTGAAAGTGGATGTGTCATATCTTAATTTCGCATCATGACTTTCCTTGTAAGTTGAGCTATCACAATGTACAGTACATTATACAATAGCTGTATTTTGATTCCCGGTTCACTTGTAAAAGGTGAAGTGTTTGGTTCCGTTTCTTCTACTACATAGTCTGTAGCGCTTGTGTGTAAGCTTGTAAAAAATGCAGAGCAATATCTACGAGATTTTGTGTGACACTAATCTGCACGATGTGCATTGCCACTACTTTCAGAATAGTTACCGTAAATAATTGCGAGCATCAGACATTTCGCTGCCTTGCGTTCCACTTTTCCGTTTCCATAATTATTTTTGTATAGATTTATATTCGCAACTGTATCCTCTTTGTACTGTCGCTGTAAATATGTCATGATAATATTGTACATTCCTAGATAAAGTATATCTTACTGCATAGACCTAGTAATATCTACAAATATAAGTAGCTGTTGTGCACTTTTGGCGAAGGGACATCGATCGAGCGACGAAAAGCCATCGTGCTGCTTTTGCCGAATCCAAGTTTATACATCAAAATAGGAGCCTGCATAGGAGAGTTTACAGGCCAGAAACAGCGAAAGGGGAAATTGCAAATATAATTGCGAACAAGTTGACCCTACCTAGCGCATTAGCCTTAGGTAATTGCGAAGACAGCTTAATGTTCTTTGCTGTTAAGGTTGTACTTTGTTTACCCG